GTGGTGAGTTCGAAAACCGTGCTGACTGGATGAAAGGAGGTGTTTGCTGGTGAGGTAGTTGTAGAGCTGTCGGTGTATGACGCGCTCGACCACTTTGGTAATGACAGGAACAAGAGATATCGGACGGAAGTTAGTAGGGTCAGAGGGGTCACCGGATTTGTGAATGGGGTTGACTAGGGAGTGTTTCCAGGGAGCTGGGATGTCGGAGTGTGTGATGCAGGAATTGATGATATGCAGGAGGAGATTTTAATGTTGTGCCTCATTGACTTGAGCAAATGTTTCGACGTCATCAACTACGATATTTTACTGCGAAAACTGAGTCTGCACGGCATTGAGATCTCCTGGTTCGCCGCCTATCTTCGGGGACACACACAGAGCATGTCCCTGAACGATGGGTCCGGATGCAGGGTGCTGTTTCGGCCGCTCGCCAACGACATGGGTGTCTTCCAAGGTTCAGTTTTAGGTCCGCTCTTATTTACTATTTTCGCCAATGACTTATCTCTACACGCTGATGGAGCTCTAGTGTTTTAATACGCGGATGACACCAAATTGTTGGTGAGCGGTCCGCCGAAAGATGACATCGGGGGACTCACCTCTCGCATGGAACGTTCACTGTACTCACTCACTAAGCTCTTGGTTTAGTTCTCACTCGCTGAAAGTTAATGCAAACGAAACCCAACTTGCTATCTTTGGCAGTCGACAGACTCTGCGCTCTCTTCCGAACATAACAGTAACTTTTTGCGAAGTAGCTTTGAAACCCCAAGCAGAGGTGAGAAACCTGGGCGTCGTCTTCGACGGTGCCCTGACCTGGGAAGCACATGTGTCCGAGCTGTGCCGGCAATGCGCCGGTGTGCTCGTCGGGTTATCTCACTGCCGTCATTATCTTCCGGACGGGGTCATCAAAGTGCTAGTGTCGGCACTTGTGCTGTCGCGGATCCGCTATTTCGACAGTAGGTATAGGAAAAATGCACCATTTTTACAGCACCTTGCATGCTTCGTGTATCGAAGGTCATTCGTATGTCACTGAGCTTGTTGTCTGGGGTATATTTCTTCGCAGTGATAACAATGTTTGACACCCAACCCCTGGCATGCTCTGATCCCAGTGGGCCTTCGATGACATCTGCGTCCTGCAGCAACTCGTCCAAGTGCCGCCTTGGCGGTTCCATGAAGTGCTGCGCTACTGGGCGTTGTTTTTGCGCGACCGGCTGCACTCCCGCTTTGACATGGATGTGGATCGGGTCAAGATCTGCCTTTCCTATGCCATTCCTATGAGATGGCCGAAGGCACATCATATATTATGAACGATATTGACAATGCATGGTGCCTCCGTGTCGAGTCGACCGCTGGTGCCACTTTGTGACTGTGTCCCGTATACTGACCTGTCTGTTCTGTTTTGTTATGCTCTGTTGTAGGATGGCAGTGACATGCAGGAAACTGAAGATCCTGTACCTAATCTCCTCAATCGAAAACCGCCAGGCCGTCCTGAACGCCCTGCACGAGACAGACCTGGGATGTGACGGTGGCCAGTCCGGTACCATCGATTTCAATGTCCCCAGTGAGTGACGGCGCCTCTGACCACCCACACCAGCCGACACGGCGCCACCGGCCTCTCGGACACACCCTCACAGGCACAGATTGATTGCGGCACAGATTGCTACGTTTGTTGACACTGCTTTGATAGGCAGAAGGTTTGTTCAGTATCCGCGATTTATCACGCTCGTGACCACTGTCCAGTGTCCAGCCGTCGGTAAACCGTTGTCACCGTTCCGGATGTACTGCCCTGGTGACGTCACGTGTGTTGTCGTGACGTCACGCTGGCTCACACCACTGCACTGTGCTGTTGTGTTGTAGTTTCAGTTTAGACCAGAGGGTGGTTGGAGCCAGCTAAGAGGGTGTCTGGTCCAGGCGATATCGGACCTCGCCCGTCACTGTGTCGTACCGTGTTGGTCCGGTCGGCTGTGGTTCGTTTTCATAGGCGCGGGAACTACTTTCAGACTGGGGGGGGGGGGCACACCATAATGGAGATGAACCTAGGGTACCCCCAAATCTAGTTTTCTCACCGGTTTTAGGCCACTTATTTTTCATCCCTTGGCTTTTTCAACAAAAAAGAAAAACATTTGCAAAAAAGTGCAGTATTTCGTCTCAAAGTTGTGGGGGCACCGCCCCCACGGCCCTAGAGTTGGGGGGGGGCAAGCTGCCCCCACTGCCCCCCCCCCCCCCGGCTCCCGCGCCTATGTTCGTTTGGACCAGATTTGTCCGGTTCGATGTCGTTCATTATTGTGATATCACCGAGCTGATGGCGATGGAATTACATGATTGGTGGCTTAGTAATTTTATTCAAGAATCTGTGTTCAGGCCTCTTGTTAGTACCTACATGAGAGCCGCAGGAGGGAGGTATCGAATACGCAATTCACTGAACTCTATAATGTGGAAGGCGCATCGGCCGCCAGATGGTGTCCAACAGTGCCGCCATGTTGCGCAGACCAGAAAAGCGGCCGCCGCCTGTGTTGGGAAATAGGGAATTCGGGACCTCGATTTACGTTTGTGGTCGCTGCATCCGTTACGTTCAAGCTATGTGGACACGGAACCCGGCATATTACGTAGAATTGAGTGGAGAACAAGATGAAATCCTAAAAAATCCTCAGATACAAGGAACTAATACGTTAAACCCTTATAAGTCAATGGGGAAATATGAAAATTGCTATTTTGGCGCCGAGAATGATCTGAAACTATCTCAAGCATATAGAATCATGATTTCATGCACTCCTTGCAAGGTTCTATGCTTCATATTTGCATTGTTGCCCTTGGGTGACGTCATTTGTGACGTCAAAAGGGTCACAATTTTTCTTCAATAACTCCCGATCAAATTGAGCGAGTCGGGAAAGCCACCAATGCACTCAGGAAGACCTGCCGAATCGAATGATATGCGACATGACCTCTTTCGACCAGCTTCGTGACCTGGGGGTGCTGGCCTGACCTTGACCTGAGGTCAACACCCTTAGTTGACCTGACCCGAGCAAAAAGTATATCACTCGATGCGCCTGAGCTAGCTGAACACAATGATGCCAAAATCGCGGCTCTACGGCCATTTTTGGCGAAGTTATTTACCAAAAACCGAACCCGTGCCTTAGATCACTTGACCTGACCTCAGAGGTCACCGGCTGACCTGAGACCTTTAAAGCGGGTTCCTACAAGTCACTCTGCATTATACGTTGCCACATACGACCACTTTACCGCTTAATTTTAGTTTAATTAGCGGCGCATTAGCGAGGTGGGTTCAATCAACCCCCTCGGCCGGGGCAAATGTAGGTCCGGCGAGTGAATTTGAGGAATTTTGAAGAAACGATCGTGCTCCCCACTCAATTCTGCGTAAGATGCCGGGCTCCGTATCTACGTAACTTGATCGTAATTGATACGGCGGCCGTAACCGTAAATCGAGGTCCCGAATTCCCTATTCCTCAATACAGGCGGCGGCCGGTTTCTGGTCTGCGCAATACGGCCGCCACCGTTAGACACTACGGCCAATAGGGTTGAAGCAGCAGTGCTCCCCTGTGACGCAATTTTACTGAAATGGCATTCGCAAGTGTTAACCCGCGCACCGACGGGGGTCTGCGCCACCTTAGTACCGACGGGGGGGGGGGCGGATGACCGCCCCCCCCTGAGATCTCGAGAACGAAGCAAGATAGCGACAAGCGGTAAACGGCATCGGATACGCACGGACAAGGTCTACAATTTTTACTAAGGTCATTTTCAGGTCAGGTCAAAGATGACGTCACAGGGGTCGAAAAAGTCAAAATGGCGGCGCTAGATATGGAGAGGGTTTTTCTCGAATAACTTTCGAAGTAGTCAAGATAGGAACAAACTAAGGGCATCATCGTGATCCTCTCGTCAATCCGCATCGAATGATATATATGTTGACCTCGAAAGGTCAAGGTCAAAGGTTGACCTCAGGTCACGTGACCTCGAGGTCATCATGTATATCATTCGATGCGTCTTGACGAGCTGAACACAATGAGACCATCCGCGCGGCTGTATCTTGTTCCTGTAAGGAGTTATTGGCAAAAAACCTTTGGTGACCTTTGATGACGTCACATGACCTTACAGCTGCCCAACAGCAAAACAGACCTCAAGGTAGTGAAGGTTGATCGTATGTGAAGTCATGTATGGTATATGGGGCCATTCCGACCCGTTTTAGTGGTAAAAACAGGGAGTTGATTTTTCCCCCATTGACTTATAATGGGGAGGTCGCGAAATTGACCTGACCTTAGGTCACCGACATCAAAATTCCGAGATATACAAATTGTAGCTACTAATGACCTAATAACATCCTGCGACTTTCAAAGGCCTCCGACATCTACTGTAGCTCTGGCACGGTGACAAAGTTGCAAAAAAGTGACTTGAGGTTGGGTCATTCAAAGTGACCTGGTGACCTGACCTTAAAAGTTAGGAGGTTCAAACTTGCACACCCTGTGTAAAATTGATGAGAGAATAGTCATACCAAATTTCGCGGCGCTACGCGCCGCGGTTTTCCCGCTATCCGCGAAAAACCTCAGGGGGGGGGCGGATATCCGCCCCCCCCCGTCGGTGCGCGGGTTAAATTTATTGCCACAACCAACCATTATAAACGATGTAGGATGTTATTATTGTAAACGTCATGCATTCTACATATATGCATCATCCTCCATTGTATTGTATATCTATTTAGCATTGACATTCAGTAAGTTTGTACCTACTTTGTTGTCATGGGTAAGCGCCGTCTAATCGACCACCTGGGCCGGATGTACTGCCGGCTGAAACTGCAAGCTGCATGCCAGGGGAGCGGGGAGCCTGCACACTGACCGACTCGTTTTGTCACGTTACCATAATAGCTCTGATGACGTCATCAAATTATTGAGCCCCGCCACCAGGTTAATGGGTTAGTTCCAAGGCCATGCTAGTTCGGCCTCATGACAAAGCGACACAGGGGCGGCACTGCGCAGTGTTTGCGCTGTGACCTCGTACAGAGAGTGGAGGACTAGGACGAAAGGTGTGCTGAGGAAAGTAAGGTAAGCGATTCAAGTTAAACCCGCGCCCTGGACTGGGGTCCTAGATTTAAGGTTTCAACCCCCCGCTGGTGCGGTGTTTTAACTTCAAACTCGCGCCCCGCTCACTCGCTGGGGGGCCTGGATTTGCTCGCAATGCTGGTACGGTGTTATAACCCTCGCCGGCCGATGAGGGGGGGGGGGGGCTGCCACCCTCCCCCATCGTTTTTTCGCAATAGCTCCTATTTCCGAACACGCTCGCGATGGAGAGCTGAGACTTAGGATACCTGACCTCAACCGCATTTTCGGGTCATGTCAGGTCACTGACCTATGACGTCATAAAGGAACCTCTGCACGGTCTTCAGATCAGATGTCGATAATTCGCAACGCCCTCAGTGCCAGAGGAGCTTTCACAGGGAGATGGAACTTACAGAGCCTAGTATCCATTAGGAGTCTCACAACTTTTATTACTCGGATTTTCCTAAAGGCCACATGAGGTCAGGTCGGTCACGTGACCTCACTAAAGATGTCAATCGGATACCAACTTTTTGGTATACCGATACCAAACCGATACCAACTTGGTATTTGGTATTTCAATCCTAATGTGTTTGATATTTTGTTGGTATCATTAATCCTCGCTAATGTTTAACCCGGCAGGCGGTGGGCCTCCCGGCCACCTTCCGCGCGGTGGCGGGGGGGGCATTCCCCCCTCCCGTATCTCCGAAACTACTGGATGGATCCGGAACATTCAAACGCCGTTCGATAGCCCTGTCAAATTTGTTGAGGGAAGCCAAATTTCATTAACCTCGGGGTCACCGATGACGTCACAGGTCAGGTCAAAGATAAAATGTTTCACCGTTCACGGGGCTTCTAGGGCAAGCGCTATAACACCGAGTAAAACGCATTTTGTCGAAAATTAGCGATAAGGCGTCAGTTGTCTAGTACATATGTTGCTATTAGAGGTCACTGGTCATACCAGGTCAGGTCACAGGTCAGGTACATGAACCCAACTTTACTAAGGTAGTTTAAAGCGGCTCCGGTGGAGCAGTATCCTTTACCGCGTTTTAAAGAGCTCTCAGCAAAGCTCCAGGGGAGTACGGTGTACTGAAAGGTTGATATCAAATCGGTCTATAATCAGCTCCCTCTAGACGAAAAACCACGAGAATATCTTACCGTCAACACTCTAAAAGGCTTACTGAAGCCCACGAGACTCGGGTTTGGTTATTCATCCGCACCAGCACTTTTCCAAAGGACAATGGAGGTGCTCTTAGCGGGCATCCCAGGGACATGCGTCTTTCTGGAGGATTTCGTAGTCTCGGGTAAGACGCTGCAGGAGCATATAATGTCGCACTGCGAGCGGTGTTGACGCGTATCCGTGAGGCCGGACTGCGGCTTAACAAGGACAAGTGCGTTTTCCGAGCTTACAGGGTGGTGTACCTGGGTCATCAGATCAGTGGTGAGGGTATCAAACCGACAGATGACAAAGTGGAGGCGATCACAGCGGCCCCGGAGCCGGAAAATGTGTCCCAGCTGCGCTGCTGGCTGGGACTGGTTAACTTCTATGGGAAGTTTCTGCGTGGTCTGGCCACTATACGCTGTCACCACTGTACGCTCTTTTGCGAAAGGATGCTGTTTGGAAATGGGCAAACGTGGAAAAGGAGGCGTTTTAGGATGTCAAGCGCCTGTTACGGAGCCCTCCTGTTCTGGCACACTTTGATCCTCACTTACCGATCACGTTGGCATGTGACGCCAGTCCGGTGGGGATCGGTTGTGTCCTCAGTCAAAAGACGCCGTCCGGCGAGCGCCCAGTGGCGTATTATTCGCGCACGCTCAATGAGACGGAGCGGCGTTACTCGCAAGCAGATCTAGAGAGGGCTTAGCAGTGGTGGCAGGGGTCAAACATTTTCACTTTTATTTAGCTGGCAAGACGTTCGTTATCCAAACTGATCATAAGCACCTGCTGGGTTTAATTGGCGAGATGAAATCGAATGGCTTAGCTGAAAAATGTGTGGGAACTTTTCAACGCAGTTTCAAGAAGAAGCAGTCGGGATCTGTGCACACAAAAGTTTCGAGATTTTTGTTTCATTACCGAGCGACTCCCCATACCACGACTCGCGCTACACCGGCAGAGTTGTTTATGGGGCGGCGTATGCGAACACCGCTGAACGCTCTAGTGCCTGATTTAGGTGCGACAGTGCGGCAGACTCAGGCGAAACAGAAATTGTATCGCGATCGGCACACGGTTGGTCGTCAGGTGGCCGTAGGCGATGCTGTGTTTGTGTCTGCAATGGACCGGCTCAGCGGTGGCGGGGGGAGGACGTGGCTGCCCGGTGTCCTGGTGGTAGAGTTCTGCACGGCTGCAATTTTCCACGGCCTAGCCGCTCCACAGACGTGGCTCCACAGCCACAGCCGCCCACAGCCGTGGCAAACTGTGGGCAGCCAGCCGTCAGCCGGAAGTGGATACTTTTAATGAAATGCAACCAAATATTATATAATAAGTGGTTTTTAGTTAAAACATATAGACGAAAGCACATTGCAATGGGCTATAGATTCTCAAGCTCATGAAGCATGCCTACACAAGCCCTTGCAAGACGTGTAGGTACAGGTCTCGCGGGTTTTAGCGGTAGATCGCTCGGCGAGCGGGAGGGCAACCAGTTCCGCCTCTGTATCGGTGACCATTTGCTCCGCCCAGTTACTCGCGGGCGCGTACTACGGCACATAGTTAAGTGGGGAGGGAAGGGTTAGAGTGGCAGCCTGCGTAGAGGCTAAAACCGGTTTCTATCGCCTGGGCCGGCGACACGGCATGCGGTCAGGGGACGGGGAAAGGCCAGAGGTCACTCACAATGTGCAGTACCGCGTCCCGTCCTCTCTGCGTGCTGACCAGCGCACGACCTCGGCCGTTGGCCAACCGGCATTGAACGGTCAAGGCCACCCGTAGCCAGCGGGCGGGGTGAGCCGGCAGCGTATCGATTCATAGGTAGTCGTCCAAAGTTTTAGCCGAGGCCGGAAGGCGACTGTAATGTTATTTCTTGAGAACAGTTCTGTCATTTAACCCTCGCACGACCAGGCCATTTCTCATAACACGAACGACCAGGGGGGGGGGGGGGGGGGTTGTTACGACCCCCCTGGCGTTTCGAAACGGAAGGTCGTAGAGCTTAGCGGAAAAAACCAACGGATTGCTCTCAACGAGATCTCGCGATTGGTGGTATATTTTTTGGTCCTAGGTCAACATTTGACCTACTTATGACCGGTCAAAGGTCAAATTTTCCGAAAAATCAAACTTTTTCAACTTTCCGCGGCGATTGCGGCAAAACGGTGGGAGATATCGACTTGAAACCTTCACTATCGTGTTCCTTGATCAATTCTCTATCGTTTGGTATGTATTTCGTTTCCCTAGCTCTAAAAATGGCGCGTTGGGAGCGCCGGAAGTCGGCAAGGTCACAGTCGGCGGCAGAAATTCGAAAAATCAAAATTTAAATTTTTGAAATCTGATTGTATTTTTGGATTTGGGAGGTCCATTTGCTCCCTATAGAAGCTAATATTGCTGCATATTCCCATTGAGGTGACAAGAATTAGCAAAATAGTGGTTCGGGCGCTTTTCAAAAATAGTACCGGACGCTGTTCCACTTGTGACGTCATAGCTCCGTGACCTGACCTGACCCGGTCAATTTTCTTGCACCACACGATAGCCAATGCTTGCCCCAACATGCATGGGAAGTTTCATCATGATCCATCAAACAATGTGGGTATCACCGGCAGAAAACCTAGGGATTCGGCGCACACGTTTGGTAACTGTCGGCCGGAGGCTGTACCTCTTATGACGTCATAACTCCGTGACCTGACATGACCCGATCAATTTTTTTTCGGCAAAAGATGCGCAAAGGTTGCCCCAGAGGGTATTGAAAATTTCAGCCCGCTACGACAAGCCGTTTAGCGTGCAGTTCGAAAAAACCTCAGGGGGGGGGGTTGATACAACCCCCCCTAGGCGTTCTAGGGTTAACCCGCGCCCCGTTAGGGTCCCCCGAGCCTCAGACCCATTGGGGGGGAGCATTTTGCCCCCCCCCCTAAGATCTCGAGAACCACGCAAAATAGCGACAAGCAGCAAACGGTGTTGGATGGCCCCAGCGAGAAAATACCTTTTGGCTCAATTTCATTGACCTCGGTCAAACCGATGAAGTCACAGTTCAGGTCAGAGGTCGAATTTTCACCGTTTACAGGCATTTCAAGAAATGTGTTGTAAAATCGAGTAAAATGCATGTCATTCATCGATAAAGAATCGATGAATAACAATTTTCGATGGGGAATTGTTCGTCAAACACATATTTTGCTATTTGGGGTCACTGACACCAGGTCAGGTCACTGAGGGTCACAACATGAAGATATGTAACTATTATGTGATGCATGTTTTCTGGTCCACTTTACATGAAAAATGCGATTATGTGGGTCAGGCAGCCCTTGGGGGCCAGTTTGGGTTATGTTCTGGTGAGGGTCAGGTAAAGGTCAGGTCAAATTAGGTCAAATTTCTAATTTGATATTTTTGCATAAAATAGGTATCGATTCGATGCAGCTCGTCACGGGGATCTAATGGTGGTCTTTGTTTTGCGCTACGTAGTCTAGAATTGTTAAAAATTGAGTTAAAAAATTTACGTCATCAATTTTGAACAGCTTTTTCGCTATAACTTGGCCAAATAAGGAGGCATCGATCTACAATTTGTTATGTGAATCGCAGAGAGCAGGGACTATCATATATAATTCATTTTTTTAACTCGAAACACTTTTTTGTTATTTTATAACAGACCATTATTTTAATTTGGGGGGTCAAAGGCTCAAAAGTTTGAAAATCCCAGACTGCAGTTTTGTTGCGCCGTTTTTTCTCTACGCGACCAGATAAAGAGCTTTGAAATTGCTTGTTAACTGTAGCTTTTGTAAGCGTTTCAAGATTTCATGTTTTTTGCTAATTTTTGCTCGAACATAACCTCAGTTTGACCTCAATAACTCCTGACCAAAGGTGACCTAAGACTTGA